TGATTTTCTTTAGTAAGGATTATCCTATCAGTGTATTGAACAAAAGATTCATATAATTGACAGAAATTATTTCCTAGAATAAAATCCATTCCAGATTCTTGTTGATAAACAGTTGGAATATGAAATATTTCTCCTGCTATCATTATGTTTAAATTTTTACAAACTTTATTTATTGAGATTGAGCTTCCATCTGCAATATTTACTTGCAATGTTCTTGAAGCATTTTCCTAATGTTCTTCAGGGATAATATGTTTTGAAGATAAACAAAGACTTGCTCCCGTATTAACAAAACAATGTATTTCCATCTGTTTATAACCAACGAATTTCAATTTACCTTTAATGTAGATTGAATTCGGGTTTGTAATACTGATGAGGTTATCCTCACTCTGTATCACTGTTTTCTGTACTAGATGTTCCTGAAGAGGATCCATCTTCCAATTTTTCCAGTATATAGACTTCCTCTATATCTGAATATTCTTCTTCAATTGGTTCAAGACCAAATGACTCGGCAATCTGAAGAAATTTTACTTTCTCAGAGTTTTGTCTATTAGGAAACTCATTTGCATAGTGACCTTCTATGTTACAGATCCAACATCTGCAATTCTTATTCCCTTTCGGGCAAAAGTTTTTCTTAGGTTGAAACTTCTGTTTCTTCCTAAAATATTTACCAGGTTTAAAGGTTCTTCGCTTCTTTCTTTTCTGGTACTTATATTTTCTAGAGAATTTTTTCTTAGATTTTCTTTTGTATAGTCTACAACCATAATTTGTAGACTTCTCAAAAATTTTAGAACAACAGTTTCTGTTGAACTTCTTCATTTGTTTTTGCTTTGTAGTAGTATTACAAATTTTTTCAATTTCCTCTCTTACAAGTCTTTTGGCATAACCAAAACTATACTGCATAAGATTTTCAGCTACTTCATATTTCTTTGAAGCATCATTTCCTACAATAGGAATTTTTGCTAAATACATTCTTATGTATTCCGGATGTTCTCCAAAATCTATTTTGAAAAGGATCTTTACGAAATCACAGTTGAATTCGTCAATATAACAAATATCACAAAGAGTTTGATTGTTTAATCTTACCTTTGCTTTAGATTGTTCTAAAAGTTTTTCATTTTCTGCATTTGATACTCGATCAATGCCCAAAAACAAAGTATATAGACTATTCAGAATGCTTTCAAGCATAACTGCAGGGTCTACATTTTGAGTATCCCATTGAACTCTTTTTATAAAATTTTGTGCATTTCCAAGCATTCTATGCTCAGCAAGTGCTAGCACAAGTTGTGCTGTATTGAAAGTACTGGGATTAAGATTAATCACAAGACTCATTTCTAGTCCCCATTTATCGATTAATTTCTTAATAGTTTCAGGTTTTTTACAGTCTAAATCTAGGATTGAGGTTGTCTGTACTTCTCCAGCAATACCAGGAATACCGGTATTGTTGTTAGATGACCTAGGTGGTCTAGGAGTTACTGATGGTTTTCTTTCGAATTCATCAGTATTCATATCTTGATCATCTCTTGCTCTAGATGATTCTGGTTTTTCCATTCTAAAATTTTCTTTTAGAAATTTTTCCTCATCGTCGAAATTTATTTCTGACTCTGACTGAGTGTCAGTTTCAGTTTCCTCAATTTGATAAAAATGTTCATTTTCATCAAGTTTTAATAATTTTTTCATTTCAGGGTTTGATTCTAAATCTTATTTACATTGTTCTTCATTCATTTCTAAAAAACGAATTGTATGTTCAAGCTGAATGGCTTGTTCATCATCCAAATCTAAATTAATTAGATTCCAAAGATTTTTCTCAAGTTTTTCTTGAAAATTCATTTTTTCAAAGCATCTTTCGGTCATTTGAAAGCGTTGGGATTTCCTGAACTTCCTAATTCTTCATCCCCAACAAAATCGTTAGGATATGAATATTTAAGAAAAAATATATTTTCTTGATTAGGAGTTATCTCTTTTTTTTTTCAAAAATTTCTTTTTTACAAGAACATTTAGCGATTTCTTGCTTAATATCATTGATTATTTTAGCTGCTATCGGTTCTAAATCTTGTTTAGAATCTGTAGGCTGCTGTTGAACGGATTTAAATAAATCATCTATCTGTTTTTTCAGGATTTCCATATCCCGTTTTATATCCGTAAGGGTATAATTCATTTTTGAATCAATATTATTATTAGTTTGCCTTTAGCAAAAGAAAGTGTGCTAATAGCAATATTTATGTTTTAAAAGTCAATAGAAATGTCACTTGGCATTTTTCCATTGGCTATTAGGAAGTGATGGTAGTGCCCTTACGGGCAGGATAGAATTTTCACTTTTTTAATTAAGTTATAGTTAGTTAAAAGTCGTTGTGCATGTTTTTCCTCAAAACCAAATCAATGAAACACTCAATTAATAATGAACATGTACAACTCTTCATTAATTAAAAGAAAAATGAGGAGGGCCATTGTCATATATTAATAAGAAAGCCAGCATTAACTAAAAGCAAGTAGTTCC